AAGATTTAATTTGCTCTTTTGGAATAGTTTTCTCTTTTGAATATTATTTAGGAATGATTGCTGTATGCAAATTGGGATGCAACTATTTGTCTTTTTGGGCCTGCTTGTCCCATGAAAACAATCGAGGTTCATTCTTGTGTGTTGCGTTATCTTTGAGCTTCCAGAAGAAACAAAGATATTTGTTTGAGAGCAGGTATGGCCAAGCATATGTTTGTTTTGCTGAATAATGCTTAAATACACAACCTGAAAAAAGTATTGGCGCCTATCCAAGTTTTAAGAACAACAACTAATAACTTGCCTTCTAGTTGATCATTTGGTATCAGAAGTGGGTTATACAGTATGAAAGGCAAAGGCCTTTATATTATGCATATTTTACCAAACAAAAATTTGATCATGTCTTGATTTTTAATTATTTAATTAGGGTAGTAAGGTCTGACTTTGCTTACACAAAAGTCTTGTCACTTAACAGAAACAATGTACAGTATAGAATATAAAGTCATGGTGCAGTGGAAAAAGAATTAATATTGTGTATGACTCCCATGAGCTTGAAGGACTGCATCCATACATTTGTACATCTCTGCAATGACTCAAATAACTTATTAATAAAGTCATCTGGATTGGCAAAGAAAGCATTCTTGCAGGACTCCCTTTGGATTCTTTGGATTCATCTACAATGCCTCCTCCTTCATCTTACACCAGCTATGCTCAATAAAGTTCAGTCTGGTGACTGGGCTGGCCAATCCTGTGGTGGCCGAAGTATGAGAAGGAGCGCTATCCTGCTGAAGAATTTGCCCTCTCCTGTGGTTTGTTATGTAATAGGCAGCACAAACATCTTGATAACAGCAGTTGATGTTGCCGTCCCCATGCTGAATGCAAGCCCAAAACATAATTTTTCCTTTACCAAATTTGACTGATATCTATGAGAATCTTGAGTCCATGTGGGTTCCAATAGGTCTTCTGCAGTATTTGTGATGATTGGAAAATCTGCCACTTTTCTAAGGCCGCATTTACACTGCACTGTTCAAGTGACTCATTTTTTTTTTCTCCCATGTGGCACAGATCGGATATGGCCCATGTACGTGTAAGCAGGAACAAGTTACATGAATTCTGATTTACTCAAATCAGATTCAGGCATTTGTAGAAATTTATCCAATATGAATTAGATCTGTGCCGTCGTGTCTGCAGTGTAAGCAAGTAGATCGGATTTTCACCTGTTAATGCATGCCACGCGTCATTAAAAACTAGAGGTGTCAAAATTAATTGTTTCTTCGGTGCACCGCGATGCAGACGCGGACAATAAGGTATCGGTTCAGTAATAATCATAACCAGTTATTAAGTACTGACGTCACTTATCTCCTATGCGCTCTGTCGTAAGGGAGGTGAGCGCGAGTATTTACAACACTCAGCCAACTCAGAAACTCAAAAACCTCTTACCCTAAAAAGATCTAAAGTGTGTTTCCTACAAAAAGACAAAGCTGGTTGTTTCACATCTGTCTTTATTTTTTTTTGCTCCGTTTAAGCTCTCGCAACATGCGTTTAGCCGGGAGAGCTTGCGCTGAGAGGAGCTCTCAGTAAGGGAGCGTCGGAAAATTGCTTCTTTTTTTTTCTTTTTTTTGCGTTTTTCTGCTCCGCTCCGCTCAGCGCGAGCTCTTCCTGTTGTGAAGACTTAAGTGTGTGTTTGCGTGTGTGTGTGTGTGTGTGTGTGTGTGTGTGTGTGTGTGTGTGTGTGTTTGTTTCTTTGGTGCTGTCTATGTTTGTGTATGTGTTTGAATGAGAGACAGTGTGGTACTGTGTGTCTGTGTGTTTATACAGACAGCTTCCCACATAGCAAAATTTCTCTGGCCCAGCTCTGGCCCACACAATCAGGTTTTGCTTGGCCCACATGCCGCAGTGAAATACGGTACATGACTGGACCAAATCTGGCTTCCAGACAAGGGCCAAACACAGACCATATCTGGGCCAAGTCTCAGCCAAGTTAATAACTCATAACTGGGCCTGAACTGGGCCAGATAGGTTGGTGTGTCACTTTTGCAATGAAATTGATAAACCCATGGAGTGATGCGCTTTAGGCACACTATGGGCACGCTTTTTCTCAAAGTGACCTGATTGGTGGAATTTTTATTCTTTACTCAAAAATGATTTTAGTGTATTTTAAATGTGGGTCAATACTGGCCAAACTCACATGGCCCACTTATCAAATTTTTAAATCTGGGCCAAATACTACATTTTTCTTCTGGCCCAAATCTTGTGTGCCGCCTTAAAAACGGTGCCACCTCTGCCAAACCCGGGCCATGTTTGGCCCACATGCTGTATGCCAGTGCCAGATGAATGCCTGCTGTGCCAGCTTTTTGCCAAATCTGGGCCAGAATTCTTTGCTACTAGGGAATTGTTATAGCCTCCCCCCTAAAATATAACACTGTATATGGAAAGCATCATCAATGCACCGTGATGCACCGAGATATCGTATTGAACCGAATCGAAGGCATGATAATCGTAACCGAACCGAACCGTGAGACCAGTATAGGTTCACACCTCTAAAAACCATAGCGAAAACATCAAGTCTGACACTTTTTTTCAGAACAGACTTCAGCAGAGTCCCAAACCTTAAATCTCATACACGAGGACTTAAACAGCTTTTATATTGTCATATAGCACAGGTGTTTGAGCATGTTAACGAGAGCGAGAGAGCGCAACGTCCGCCACGTGACCAATATAAACTAAAATTTTATTTTCATTTTAGTTGAATGGACTTCAAATAGAGGAATGAAAATCACCTAGATTTTATTAAGAATATTTTTATTTGCATTCTAAAATCGTATGTGTTTTGAAACTATACAAGACTGAGTAAATGCTTACAGAAAATGTATTTAGGGGAGAACTAGGCTTCTAAAGAAATGCTCAACTCTCTGCTTAATCCTGCCATTTGTTATGGGTTCTAAAAGCCAATTACTTAGCCATCTCATCCCAAAACAAAGCCTAGATCAACAATCTGCTTCCTGCAGGGCATGTCATTAAATTAGGCTCAATACTCGGCATGCCTCACTACGGTGTAAACCCACAAATAAATTAAAGCACGGCAAAAATATGCCAACAGGAACTGATACTGTAAGTCCTCGAGGTCCTTCAGATATGGGATTGAGCTAATCTGCCCGATTATCTGTTTAATTAGCTATACTGTAGGGAGAAAATTAGCTTAATCTGACAAAAACTTCCCTCTGGGGACATCCGGCAACATTCCTAAAGAAAAAAAAAGATGTTTTGAGAGAAATAGTTAAAGTAATGTGTTTAATAATTCTGATTAATGGATTCAGATAAAAACTAAGTCTTATTTTGTGTAATGTTTAATGGACAATAGACACATTGCTAAAGGATTCTAATAGACTAACAAAAATAATAAATTCTAATAAAAAGAAAAAAAGATTCACAATTTATAATGAAATGTTTCACAACCTTCAAAATTAATTTATTTTAAAGCCACTGTGAGTTATGGATGTTGCACGAAAACTGACAATTCCAACCAAGTAAACTACAACAACAAAACAACAACAACAACAACAACAATATTAAGGGTGTCACGATCCTCCAAATCCTCGATTCGATTACATTTTCGATTCTAAAGTCACGATTCGATTCGATTTTTGATTATGAATAATTAATTAATTAATGACCAATTAATTATTTGTAGCCTATCGTTTAAACTACCTGACCTGCATGGTCTTTGTTTTACCCATAAACAAATCATACAGTAAATGAATATAGGCAAGATACACACATAATTACCACCTGTCAATCACTTTTTTCTGCGGTATTTGTAAATAGGCAGTGACCTGTGTCGTTATAATGGCGTCGGTAAAAAAAGACGCACAACCAACAGGAACCAGCCAACAGTATCTGAGGTGTGCGCTAAAATGACTAAGTACAAGTGAGTGAAAGATTGAAGCAGTCCTCTGACTGCCTGGACCTGCTGTCTCGAGCGCATGGCTGTGTATGCATCTGTGTCTGTGTGGTCACGTGATGTGCATTTTCAGAGGTAGAGAGGAAGGAGGGCTGCTCAGAAATGCTACACGCCACTGTGGATGTCAAATCGTTGTCGTTCTAAAATCCCATTTAAAACAAAGACAGTGTAAACAGGGGCTGAGTACTTTTCGCGAGCGGATTTGCAACAGGGCTGGTGGAAGATCGCGATGTCGGTGTTGTCTATCGGACGAACCGTATGTAATACGTACATAGCAGAGCTTGCAAAACTGAGTTTTTTTTTGTCGACAACACGAACGTTGTCAACATAACTCACTGGTAATCCAAAATGCTTACACACCGGCGACTTCATTGAAAGAGGAGAGGGTTTAAGTTCTGTTGACGGGTCTCCTGCTTCTGCAGTTTAACAAGCACTTCAACAAGCCTGTTTTTTTCCCGCTTGGCAAGCCAAGCTGACGTGACATGGGGGCGTGGCAGCATCGACGATTCTATTTTTTTATTCGATAATCAAAATTGAGCATAAATTTCTATCGATTTCAATTAAAAATCGAAATCGTGACACCCATAAACAATAACAATAATAATAATAATAATAATAAATGCTGTTATTTTATATAAATTAAAGAAATCTTTTATCACTGTTTTTAATAAATAAACAAATAGATAAACAAATTGTCACCAAAACCCTAGAAATCCAGGCTTCAAAATCGGTGGTAAACATCCACCCGGACTACAATTCTGTCACTTTATGGACTACAAATCCCTTCATGCACCTCACACACATCAGTTCCGGAATCGCACAGCTGGGAGCTGATCCAAGACTGATTACACAGGCTACAAACACATTCCCACAGTTTGCTGAGTCTTGTTAGTCTGTAACACCACAAAGCATTTCTTTGTCTAAGTCTTTCTGTGTTTGATCCTTGCTTTCTTTTACCATTTATATTCATTTTTTGCTGCCTGTAGGTAGTTTAAACAGGCAGAAACAAGATTTTGAATGTGCATAAGAGGAAAATTTCTCTCACCTGTCACAGCTGGTGCCATGGGCCCCGAAGGAGTCGCATGCGCAGGGCAGGCAGCCGATGGTGCCGTTGGTAAAGTGATCTTCCTCGCACTCTTCACACTGCAGGCCCGTGTAACCCGGCATACAGTCACACTGACCCGTCTTACGGTCACACTCGTCAGGGTCTGACACTCCTTCACCACTGCAGTTACACACCAGCTCTTCATAGATGAAACACACAAAAAGAGCAGCTTATGAATTTTTGACAAGCAAAGAGGGGGAATGCTAAGATCATCAAATATTGATTTAAAGCTCAGTCAAAGTCTACCTCTAAAAGACTGCCTAATAGATGAATGGAGAAAGACAGGGGTTTTTTACATATCTTTTCTTTTTTCTTAACCCCCACAGGCCCTTCAGAACTGCTCTACTTGTAGCTTAATTAATCTAACCTCATTTTATGCTGATTACTTAGTATAATATATTACTTAACATCACTGGATTAACGTAAATAAATTAGATTTCATGAATAAATTAATTAAGGGTTAGTGTCAGGTTAAAGTATATGTACTGTAACAATTATAGGTTTAATACAGTTTAATTCTCAAACTTTTTTTTACCAAGTACCACCTCAGCCAAAACTTTTCTCTCCGAGTACCACCATGATGACTAGTATTGAAATACAGTAGCGTAGTAGGCCTAATTAAGCAGCTACAGCATCGCACAGTTCAAAAACCAGGCAGATTAATTCCTTTTATTAGGAATATGTTATAAAGTCAGCCACATTAGACATTATAAATAGTTTGAACATTAACTGTACTTGCGGACAAAAAAAAAATCACCATTTAAATTAGAATGTGCATTTAAATTTGTATTAAAATGTCACTGTTCTTAAAAAGTAAAAAGAAAACTGAAGTACTTGTAAAGTATTAATGTATAGCCTATTTATCAAAACCTGGAAATGTTGCTTGGACCTGATAAACAGACTATGTCATATATATATATATATATATATATACAGTTGAAGTCAGAATTATTAGCCCCCTTCGATTTTTTTTCTTCTTTTTTAAATAATTTCCAAATGGTGTTCAACAGAGCAAGGTCATTTTTACAGTATGTCTGATAATATTTTTTCTTCTGGAGAAAGTCTGATTTGTTTTATTTCAGCTAGGATAAAAGCAGTTTTTAATTTTTTATGAACCATTTTAGGGACAAAATTATTAGCCTCTTTAAGCTATATTTTTTCTTGATAGTCTACAAAACAAACCACTGTTATACAATAACTTGCCTAATTCCCCTAACCTGCCTAGTTAACTTAATTAACCTAGTTAAGCCTTTAAATGTCACTTTAAGCTGTATAGAAGTGTCTTAAAAATATCATTTAAAATATTATTTACAGTAATCACGGCAAAGATAAAATAAATCAGTTGTTAGAAATGAGTTATTAAAATTATTATGTTTAGAAATGTGTTGAAAAAATCTTCTCTCCCTTAAACAGAAATTGGGGAAAAAATAAACAAGCGGTCTAATAATTTAACGGGGCTAATAATTCTGACTTCAACTGTATATATATATATATATATATACCGTTTTTTTTTTTTTAAATCAAGGTAAAACTATGTGAGGGTGTGCACTTTTGTCTTATGTTTGTTTTTGAAAACACTATTGGTTAGATTTAAAGAAGGGTTTACCGCAGTGGTTCGCTAAGTGATCTGACAAGCCCCGCCTTCTTGTGAATTTGTACAAGAAGGACGTGTATCTGAAATGTACAGCAAAACGTACCTCTAGTAACATATTTCAAATTTGAAAAATAAAGACAGCACCCTCTTGTGGATTTGCTATCTAAAACATGTAACGAAGTTGTGTATCTACAATTTCCTGCTGAAAAAAACAGCTTAAACCAGCCTAGGCTGGTTTAAGCTGGATTTTTCAGCAGGGTTAACATGGGCTAAATAAAGAATAACTTTTATAAGCTTTCACCCATACAGCGTTCAAACATAATTTTTTTTTAATGCAGCACTGCTACTGAGTAGTAGATCTCTCCTTCAAGTTCAAGTCCGCTACGCATCACAAAGCTCCATCTTGCTGATCTCCGCCAGCTATAAAGAATCAGTCCAGCCTGATTCTCTGATAACTCATTAAGCTGTTATTACACCAACAGATCTTTAGTCTGCAGACCACAGAGGAAAAGCACAAACTCATTGACATTAGGTCCCAACATACTAGCAAATTCCAGCTGCTGAAAACAACTGAAGCTTATGTAATTGCAAATCTATACCAACCACGATTCAATCAAAAAAGATTTTCCAACCATATTTGTTTGATATTTAAATATTGATCAGAATTCAGTCTGGTAGCTATTTGGCACAATATTATTGAGCTGACTGACAACATGCGGATATGACCCCACATGAAAGATACTTCAGTTATTTATAGTAAATACTATAGTGTTTTGAACCACACTATAGTAAAGTACTTAAATGAATCTGTCGTGGTAATTCAATAAATGCTATGCTAATACAACTATAACAATATAAACTAATTAGCCATTACTAAGTTCTTTTACAATTATTGTATTAAAATACCACAAAAAAATAAAGTATACTACGTTTGTTACATTTTATGAATTAACTATATCTAATACTACAGTATGCTATAGCAAGCAGTAAAAAGACCATTAAATAAGAGTAAATAATATAAGTTATACAGTATAGTAAACTGTACTACGGTGTTGGGAGTAACTCGTTATAAGTTACACGCGTTTCGTAATAATATAATTTTTTTTTCAAAGTAACGAGTAATCTAATGCATTACTTTTAAAAATAAGTAATATAATTTAAGTTAGTTTTAAAAAAAAGTAACGTGAGTTATTGTTTACCTTGCTTAATTGGCTTTTACAAAATATATTGCTGAATAAAAATTACCTTAGTCAAGTTGAATCACTCACTCAATGACAGAACGTGCTGTGAGGGAACAGACACTTGGTTCACACTGATCACCATCATCAGGTCTCTTTTTTTCACAGTAGGAGAGTCTGTGTACTGTTCCAGTAACTGAATAACTTGGGATATTGGTTTATTACGAATGAGGGGGGTATTTGATATGTTAGTACTTACTAAAGACGGCAACCGTTTAACGACAACTCCGTTCAATTGAATGAACTGGTTCAATCAGTTTACTTAGAAAATCCAATTAAACAAACAATTCATACGCGTAGAATGAAGTGTAGATTATGTGTAAGTAAGACCCAATCCCAATTCTTCCCCTTAGCCCTTCCCTTTTCCCCTATCCCTTGTTTTGCGGGTTCCCGTGAAGTGGTAGGGGTGTCCCAATTCTCTTTAGCTTGAAGGCGTAGGGCTAACGCCCCATTCACAAGGAGCTTCAGCATCAACGCTTGATAGAAGGCGTGTCTAAAGTTGGGGCTGACACGATCGTCATAGCAGAGTCAGCCAATGAAATTAGTCAGCAATAGGCCACTGTCTGAGCTGATGTATTTGCATACAGTGATTTGATTGGCTAATGCTTCCATCAGCGCTTGAAAAGTTAAGCAAGTCGCAATTTTTGCAGCAAGCAACGCCTCTGAAGCGACGCCGACAGATCCACAATGCAGTTCGGCAACGCCTGACCCATTTAAAGTGAATGGGAAGCATTGAAGCTGACGCCCCATGTGAATGGGGCATGAGGGCAAGGGGTAGATACCCCTTTAAAAGAAAATTTTCCAGGACCACACTCGAAACCAAGGGGTAAGAAAATTTCCCAGAATACACCAGCCACAGCTGCACCCGGAAGTAAGGAGATCCACAAATTAGTATTTTTTGTCATTATTACGAACTTTTACGACAAACATTTTTTATATATATTCATAACCGTGTTCGTGTTTTACCATCATGCTTAAAAAAAAAAAAAAAAAAAAAACCCTAAAACAAAAATCTATAAATTTCAATCTAAAGTCTATAATAATAACTCTTGTATAGCAGTCCAGCAACATCCTGACACTCGATGACACTCAAATACTCTGAAAAGTCTAGTGGCTGGGAATGGACTTTTTAGAGTCTGCTATAATGTTAATGTTGTTTTGGAGTGTTTACGCTACATAGATGAATATGGCCACTGTGTAAATACACAGTACAATTACAATCATATTGCCACATTAGATTGTTATGATAAAATCATATATGACTTCACTGATTTCCTGAAGATAAATATCTAAAAATAAAGCAACTGGAACAACTACAGCAGTCACGATCATCTGATCTGTGCAGTTGTTGTAGTGCTGTTCCAATTGTTAGAGGTAAATTTTGAAGCCCTTCCCCTTAACACTTGGCCAAGGGGAAGTGGTAGTGGTACAAAAATAAAATTGGGATTGGGCCTAAAATTCTTGGCAACAACAAAAAACACGACATCGGAAAAAAAAAAAAACACACAAAAAAACCTGGATGCAAAGCACTACACCCGCACCCCACCTCCGCCTAAACAACAAATGATTGACATCAGTTCATGTTCTAGGTAAAACTATTTATTTGACTCAACTAAAAAATTGGTTATCGCTTTTATTGTTGAGGAGATGCAGCCACTGTCTACTGTAGCAGTAAGTACATTTTGTAATAAAGTAAGATTTTTTCTCGTTTGGGAAACGATTTACACATTTGTTAAAGCCAGGTGAAGCAATTTAGTCAATGTATAAATCTCAAAGATTTTTTTATTCTTACTGTTCATTTTATTATTAAATATTTTAAAGGTTTAAAATCTGTTTTTGCCTTAATAAATTATTTCATGTTAGTAGGCTTTATACTTTTAACTAATAACACAAAACATTCAAAAGTAGCAAACACATTGCTTTACATGCTTTCATTAATCTGTATATACAGCTTGTATAGCTCTGGGCTCAGAAAGTTCTTAAAATATAATTTTATCCAAATTTTTTTTTAAAGGAAAATAAAGGTGTAGTTTATATAGCATGCCTATAGCCAGGGGGGGTTCGGGAGGTTCGAACGAACCACCCCCCACTGCCAAAAGGTCCAGAATTTGTCCGTTTAAGTATTTTATGTATTTTAATATTATACTATATACTTATTATATAATATATTTAATATCTATTGTAGTAAAGTGTCATTTTACATAACTGTGGCCAACTATGTCGAATCCCATGGAGCGGAGTTCTCAGCCGTCAGATGTCACTGCACAGCAAAAGGCGCTAATCTCGTCACGTCTGTGTTTTTGAGGC